TCATCGATGTTAATAATTTTAAAAATCGTTCCTATGTGGAAGGCATCCACAATGGCCTTAAAAGCTAGCTGCCTTTTCTAGAAGACCACGCATGGAATATTGCAATACAGTTTTGGTTAAAAAAGATGTTGAGACTCAGTCTAGAATGCAAAGACATTTCAGAAACAGAAGGGATTTTTTTTTTTAGGATCACTTAAGCAGAGTTTTTGGCCGCCATCTGATAATCCTCTCCGCGAAAATGTAGTTTTGATGCCCGGGCAGGACTCATTTGGAGCTGGTGACTTCACCACCTCAGCGCAGGAAGTTTTATTCCAGGCGATTCTGATTAACGGGGAACGTTGCAAAAGCATTAAGCCCTGATAAACTTGCAGGAAAAAGAAATCACATTTCAAGTCTCTGGGTAAACCAAATTAAAGCAATCCCGTGGCTTTCGACCCAGATGTTTCTGACAAAGAGACGGCAGATTGAATTCAGTTAGACATTAGAGGAAACGGAACCTTTTTTTTCAAGATGGTCCCAGAAATGAAAGATTGGCAGAGCCAGGAAATTTCGGATGCCTGCTGGATTGTATTGTAGAATATTGATATGTGCAGAGTAAAGTATTTAGTGGCATATAGATGGTCCTTCATTTACAACCGTGCGTTTAGTGCAGTGGTCGCCAACCGGTGGGCCGGGGACCACTGATGGTCCGCGAGAAAAATTGGGTGGTCCGCAGAGAAATGTCACCCTCAAGGCAATTAATCCAGGCTGCATGGAAAGGCTGCAGGAACCCAAGGCTTGCGTTGCTTGCATTGTGAATAACACAAGGAAGTGAGGGGAGGAGGGGAAGGGCAGAGGGGGGGAACTTGCCCCACTCGCACCACATGCCTGGCCTGGCCACCGGGCTGCTTCTTTCTGCTTTCTTCTTCTGCTTTTGGCTGCACACAAGGAAAGCAGCAAAAGTCTTTCTTTCTCTCCCCCAAACTCTGCCAGAAATGAATCTTGGGGACCCTGCAAGGCCTCCTGCTCCAAGAGGCTGCGCCGGCAAAAACTCATTTCTGGCGGAGTTTGGGGGAGAGAAAGAAAGACTTCTGCGGCTTCTGCTGCTTTCCTTGCATGCAGCCAAAAGTCTCTCTCTCTCTCCCCCTGAGAACGGAGCTGGAGACGGTATCCTGCGATCCCAAATAAACAACGATCGATCGGTAGGAAAACGGGGTGGGGAATTTCCCTGCAGTCTTTTTTGGAGATTTTCCCAGGGTCTCTGGTCCGCGGGATTTAAACTGATGAGTTTGTTGATCCCTGAGGTCCAAAAGTTTGATGACCCCTGGTTTAGTGAACATTCAACGTTAACAGCGGCTCTGAAAAAAAGCGACTTATGACTGTTTTTCACACTTACGACTGTTGCAACATTCCCATGGTCACCTGATCGAAATTCAGATGCTCAGCAGCCGACTCATATTTATGGCGGTCGCTGTGTCCCCGGGTCACGTGATCCCCTTTTGCGACCGCATGATAAGCCAAGTCGTCAGCCTGATTCACTTAATAACCTTGTGACTGCTGGATCAACTGCAGTGATTCATTTAACGACTGTGGCAAGAAAGGTCGTAAGGGGGGGCAAAATTCACTTAAATGTCTCAATTAACTACAGAAATTGTGGTAAAGCGAGGACTTAACTCTTATTTATCCCATGGTTCAAAATGTTATTAGTTTACCAAAGTATAAAAATATAAAGAAAAATGAAAATAAAGGTAAAAGGGGGATGAAAGGGGGAAAAGAAAAAAGTGTAGGGTAGAGGAAAAACAGAAGAAGAAAAAAGCATTGACTTCCTTTTGTTGCAATAGAATAAGGTAGAAACATAAAACCTCAATTTTTTACTTTTAGATATGATAATATATGTTCTGACCAAGTCTTCCAAGACCGTAATTACTCACATGCTTATTTTAAAAATAAGTCTTGTTTTATTGCAACCCTGGGAATTATTTTCATTCCCAGCCGGTAATGAATCTCAAACAGTCCCTCGAGATAAGCACCCACCTTTCTTTCCTGTGAAATGCTGCCAATAACAGAAGAGTCCAATGAACTAGAAAAAAAAAACACCAACTGAAGTACAAAGAGCTTCAAGAACGAAACAAATGACGTTGCTTCCTGCACAGGTTTCATCACCTTGGCCTGACTTTTGTACCTTACGGGAGAGGCAATCACCTCCCAGCTTTATTCCTGAGTCGCCCCTTTTGTCTTAGCTGCTCTTGCCTTCTGGCAGTTCTGTGCATGTGTGCACTGGGAAGAGGCTCCCCTTATTCCTCTTCCTTGCTGCTGCCAGACTTCAGAGGCTCCAGAGTCAGCACAAAACTCCCAGACGGTCCTGGCCCCATCTCTGCATCGGATGCAGGACCCTTGTCTGAGTCCTCCCCAGACTCCCGGACTGGTCCCCGTTCTTCCCCACTGTCCGATTCCGCTGCCGTCTGCACAGGCTGCCAGCGAACCACAACAATACATACTCGCCACTTCTAAAATCAGCAAAACCCCAAATCAAAATTTCCTCCCATCTCAACCATAAAACAGAGATGGCTAAATTGAACTGCTTGGATGAAAGAAGAAGGAGGAGGAGGAGGAGGAGGAGGAGAAGAAGAAGAAGAAGAAGAAGAAGAAGAAGAAGAAGAAGAAGAAGAATACAATTAATTTTGTTTCTGCTTGCACACTGCTAAGGTAGCGGCAGCTTGAGGTCTTCAGTTCCCAGAATTCCCCAGCCAGCAGGCTCTCCGCTCTTTGCTTGAATAAATAATGGGATCAGGATGCCTGGAGATGCTTCTCACTGATATTCAGTTAATTAAGCCGAGTTCTCCTCCTGCTATTTTTTTTCCCCCAGGAGTCCATCGTCCGAGCTTTGGCGAGATAAACGGAGCCCCAAACTCTGCCAAAGAAAGAACGGTGTTCTTTCCATGCCATGCCCGTTTTTCAAGTGCAGGTAGTCCTCGACTTACAACCACAGCCGAGCCCAGGCGGGGAGGAATGCCTCCTGCAGCACCCTGCCAGCCAAAACATTTAAATTTATTTATTTTTTATTTTTTAAAAAAGACCTCTGCCATAGAGGGAGAAAACAAGGATGGAGGGGGGGCGCACGCGGGCCGTTTTAGCCGCCAGTCCCCCAAATCATCTTTGTTGGTCTTCTCTGCACTCTTTCTAGAGCAGTGGTGGCTAACCTATTTGGGCTCCTGTGCCAAAAATTGTGCACACGCTTGCACGCTCGCGTGCCAGCACCCAGAAGGCAATGCGCACACCCCCTTACGCATGTGCGTGCAACCCCCCCCGCTACCCCCTTACCTGCACTGTGCCTCACAGCTGATTTTCAGCGGGTTTGAGGCCTTTTTTCGGCCTCCCCAAGGCTTTTGAGCAAGGCTTCTGCGGGCTTTGCAGGCCGAAAACCAGCCCCGTTTCATCACTTCCGGTATTTTCGGAAAAACGGGAAGGCTGCGAGTTCGATCTTAGATAGAGGCAGATATTTCTCTCTCTCTCTGGGCACACTAAGAATATATCTGCCGAACAAAACTCCTCATTGGTGACAGGAAGGGCATTCGGCCAGTAAACCCTCCGCTAGCTACATTCAGTAGCCCAGACTGTACCCCGTAAGGGATTATGAGGTCGTTAAAAGAAGATGATTGATTGATTGATTGATTGATTGATTAGTTAGACAGACAGACAGACAGACAGACAGACAGAGTGTGTGCATATGTTTGTGTGTAGAGCAAGGGTCCCCAACCTACCGGGCCGTGTTCTAAACCAGGCCAGGGGAGATTAGCGCAAGGACCCTCTGCTCGCACGCGGAGCTCCATTCGCACAAGTGGAGAACACCCATGCGCTGATCACACAAAAAGAGCTGTGGACGTGCGCCGGACACACACATACACACCGGTCTGGGCCACCAAGCTGGAAGAGTTGGGGACGGCTGGTGTACAGCCATCCCCAAATATACCTAGCAGTTGAGAATTCATAGCGGAGCTATCCAAAGCAAGGCCCCCGGAGCCATAAAATGTAATTGACTCGGAAATTCAATCACACGGTTTTTATCAGCGCGCGCGGTGGTACCCTTGAGGGTTTTACGACATCGCACTCCAGGCAGGAGTTCCTTGACACTTGGCGCTTAGCAGTTTTGTATTGATTTGATGGCAATAAAAAGCATCGGGGAAGAATTTATTTAATTCTGCGGCCCTCGAAGACAAAAAAGTGGTGCTTTTTTTGTCCCCGTTCAGAAGGAGTGCTTAAAATTTGAAGAGGGGTGGAAAAGAGGCAGAGAGAGAAAGAGAGAACGAGAGACAGAATGAGAGAGAAAATGCGAGAGAGAGAAAGAAAGAGCATGAGCGAAAGAGAAAGAATGAGAGAGAGCATGAGAGAGAATGCAAGAGAAAGAAACCATGAGAGAAAGAAAGAGAGAGAATGAGAGAGAAAGAAAGCATGAAAGAAAGAGAAGAGAGA